AGAAAACCCTTCTTTTCCCAACTTGGATGAGGACAAAAAAGAATTATGCAAAGGGAGACTAACTTACAATGAATGCTACTGCTCTCTCCTTACCTTTCAGACTGGGAAAGCCCCTGGCAATGATGGACTGTCCGTAGAGTTCTATAAAGTCTTTGGCCACTCTTCGGAAACCTTGTTGTCGATTGTCTCAATGAGGCTTATGATTACGGGGAACTTTCTACGTCTCAGAAAATGGCCATGATTAAATTGATAGAAAAGAAAGGTAAAGATAAAATGCATATAAAAAACTGGAGGCCAATCTCTCTTCTGAACGGTGATGCCAAGATTGCTTCCAAAGCTCTTGCCAAAAGGTTAGAAACTGTGTTGCCCCTCATCATACACAAAAATCAATGCGCCTATGTCAAGGGCTGTTCAATCTTTGATTAATGTTTTACCAAAGAGAATAATTTATCTAGGTTGTTACTGGCTATTGATTTTGAAAAGGCGTTTGATTCTCTGGATTGGACTTTCTTAAATAAGGCACTGTCAGCTTTAAACTTCGGTCAATCATTTATAAAATGGGTCAATATGTTCTATGGCAATATCCAAAGCTGCGTCATGAACAATGGCTTTTCCTCCGCTCACTTTGATGTAAAACGTGGGGTAAGACAGGGTGATCCACTATCCCCGTATCTCTATCATTGCTCTAGAAACGCTTGCTATATACATTAGAGGCAGTGATGAGATTAAGGGCATCAATATTCAGAATGAACATGAGATTAAATTAATTGCATTTGCCGATATGACTACTTTTCTGAAAGACTACCAGTCTGCTGAAAAACTCCTACACGTACTAAATGACTTTGGCCGATGCTCGGGTCTGAAGCTTAATGAAAGCAAGTTGGAAGCTTGTTACCTGGGTACTTCCTCACCAGCTGATTTTCATTTGAACGTGGACATCAAGAGTTGCATTGAGATCTTAGGTATCTTTTTTTCATATAATAAAATAGATGCAGCTAAATTGAACTTTGAATCAATTTGGAATTCTTTGAAAAAGAAACTCAATTTATGGAAATGGAGGAATTTAACGGTTTTAGGCAGGGTTCAAATTGTCAAAACTTTTGCAATTAATTACCATGTATGCATAATGCGGGTAAAACGTGTATGTGATCGCTCTACACTCTTTCTCCTCTACTTCGCTCTGTACTGGACCAACCAACCATTTCTGAACGGAAGACATTACAGACGAATCTACAAACTGGCCTACAAAATGCGACTCAACGCTGAATATTCTGCCTCCTAGAAGGGATTTTCTCTATCCACTGTTGCATTTCCGTTCGACCCACAAAGCTGCCGGAATCTTGCTTCACAATACATCTAATTACTCCAACAAAGATGTTTTGTTCACAACGAGCATTTCACATCGCTGGATGAATTGCTACACAATCACTGGTTCGTTTCTGCACAGGAATTTATCAAAGCGGCGCAGGATGAAAAGACACAAAAGACCATGCTTTTATTATCCCAACAGCTCCGCCGCTTTCAACATCGAACTAATTGGTGATCTGACATTTAAGCTCAATCCCAGGCCCTCTGTGAATAGAACAATACCGGTCATTGTTTCATCGCAAGCCAAACGCAGCCATGCATTACGGCCAGCCACTGTGTTGTACAACGCCACCCTTGGCTCCAAAAATTGCTGTCCCAGAGGAGTGAATTGGCACAATCTTATCAGCATAAGATGCTCAAAGCAAAAACTGCAGAATGGATTCGTACCCATTGACTTCTGTTTGTTGAACACCAGATCAATCAATAAGAAGGAACTTGCGATCAAAGATTAAGCAGTCAAAAATAACGTAGACTTTTTCGCATTGACTGAGACATGGCTGAGTAATAATGAAAACTATAATTTTTCCATCGCCGAAGTTTGCCCCACTGGATACCAGTTTTACCACCTTCCTCGGAAAAACGCACGAAGGGGAGGAGTTGGCCTCCTAATAAAGAAACACATGAAGGTTACAAAACAAACCCAAAGAAATTTCAAGTCCTTCGAATACCTGGACATCGTAACGACATGCTCCACTGGGTCTACAAGGATTGTTACCATCTATAGACCACCTCCACCTAAGGCAAATCAACTAAATAGTGCTCTATCCTTTGAAGAATTCTGCATTCTCGCAGAACAGTTAGTTGTGTCCCCTGGTAACCTTCTCATAGTGGGTGACTTCAACTATCACGTGGATAATATCAGCAATCTGGATACTGTCAAATTTAACAACATCTTAGAATCGTTCGGTCTAGTCCAACATGTAAATGGACCCACCCATAAGAAGGGCCACACCTTAGACCTGATTATAACTAGAGCCGAGGACGAACTGGTAAATAGCACTGAAATACGGGATCCCATGCTGTCCGATCACTCTGCTGTACACTGCAAGCTTCGCCTACAGAAACCACCCCTGGAACAAAAGGAAATTAGTTATCGTAAACTGCGCTCGGTAAATATGAGCAGTTTTAATGATGACCTAAAGCAGTCCAACCTTCTGTCAACTAGCACCCTTGATCTTATGGGTCTCATAGAAAAATACGAAAACACACTGACAGAAACACTTGAAAGGCATGCCCCTTTAAAACAACGCGTGATAACTCTCCGCCCATCAGCACCATGGTACCACGAGGGTATTAGTGATGCTAAGAGAAAACGCCGGAAGCTGGAGCGCCGTTGGCGATCGTCAAGACTGCGTCGACAGACCAATATATGTCAGCCAGTGCCGGGTTGTGAATAAAATGCTTAAGGATGCAAAGGCTTCATACTACTCATCTATTATTTCAGAGAATGCATCAGATCCAAAAGTTCTTTTCAACGCAGTCGACAAGCTATTACACCGCAAAGTAGAGAGACACTATCTGACCCTCGACGATTGAGCTTACGAACAATTTTGCCGACTTTTTTGACAAGATAGGGACAATAAGAACAGAGCTATCCAATGAAGCGACTTCTAATACCCAGTCCTGCGAAGCAAACAAACAGCCTTGTCATGCCGAATTCAAAGAGTTTAGAGTGATGTCAGAGAGAGAGATTGAAGGTTTTGTAGACACTATTGGTAAAAAATCTTGTGATCTTGATCCTATACCGGCATCTATTCTAAAGGAATGTAAATCAGCCCTTCTACCTGTCTTAACCAACATCGTGAACATGTCGCTCCAATCAGCATCAATGCCCGCTGCACTGAAAGAAGCAGTGATCAAACCGAAGTTGAAGAAGAACAACCTGGACTCCGAGGATTATTCAAATTTTAGACCTATCTCAAATCTGAAGGTTATGTCAAAGATAATTGAAAAGGCAGTTTCTTGTCAATTGAGTGATCACCTATGTGATAATGATCTAGAGGAATCTTTTCAGTCTGCGTATAAGCGTTTTCACAGCACAGAGACTGCACTCTTGAGGGTGCAAAATGACATTCTCTTCGAAATAGACAATCAAAAATGTGTTTTCATGTTACTGTTAGACATGTCTGCGGCGTTTGATACAGTCGACCATGATCTACTACTGGAAAGAATGGCAAAACGCTATGGAGTAAAAGGAAATGTGCTAAAATGGTTTTGATCATATCTCCAAGACTGAAAACAGTTTGTGATAATTGATGGAAACAAGTCAAAGATGAAAGAACTTTGGTACGGTGTCCCCCAGGGATCAGTACTAGGTCCGGTTCTATACTTATTATACACTTCACCCATTGAGGACATCATTAGACGGCACAGACTTAATTACCATCATCGACGACACCCAGCTCTATCTCTCTTTCAAGCCCACCCCCGCCGAACTACCCAGCTCTATAGCAAAAATAGAGGCATGTGTTTCTGAGATAGACTCGTGGATGGTGTGCAATAAACTGAAACTAAACAGAGGAAAGACGGAGCTATTGATCTTGAGCGCACAACACTGTCCACCCCCATCAATAGAGTATGTTGATGTGTCTGGTGAGCGGATTGAGCCATCTCCCTCTGCAAGGAACATTGGAGTTATCTTTGATGAGCACATGTCACTAGATAAGCATGTTACCAGTACCTGCAAAGCCTGTTTCTTCCATCTTAGAAACATTAGCAAGATAAGAGCCTGCTTATCTCTAGCAGATACTGAAAACTAGTTCATGCGTTCATTACATCTAAGCTAGATAACACCAACTCGCTACTATATAGATTACCCAAATTCCTGATAGATCGTCTGCAATGAACATGTGGATGTTCCTAATGACACTGATGCACTTAAGTTTTTAGATCTGCTTGAGTCTCTCGGTTTGGAGCAGCATGTGACAGAGGCAACGCACATACGTGGTCACACCCTGGATCTTGTTATAACAAGAAAGATTGAAGATATTCTGGCGAGTCCACCACGCGCCTATCGCTATTTCTCCGATCATGCAGCTGTACATTGTCATGTTGCCATAAGTAAGCCTTCATTTCAGACTAGGATAACAAAGTTTAGGAAAACTAAATCCTTGGACGCTGAGAGCCTATCGAACGATGTAGTACTTACTGGGCTATGTGATCGAGGTAATAGCGATCCCATCACCCCACTGGACTTGGATGTACTTGTAGAGGATTACACGACCACACTCTCTCAAGTTCTTGATCGTCACGCACCTTTAAAAACCAAAACAGTGCGTGGACAAAAGACACTTTGAGTCACGCGTCACGCAATTGTACGCGTAGGTTTTGGAGTGATCAGATTTCACTTTTTTGATTGACAGTTACTCTTATTTTGTAATTCGCACGCGGTCAGGTTTTCGAGGTAGTTGTCGGAGTCGTCGCTAGAGTTGAGATGAAAATGTAAAACTAAAGAAACCGTAAAATTAAACCGTGAGTTTTCTAAACCGAAATACCGTTTGTTGTCTTCACAACATTTTTTGGCGACCACGAAGGGACCAACCGAGAAACCGTTCTGAAGAATTACCGGGAGATTTACCGTACGGAAGCACTGTGGTAAGCTTGAATTTTTATTTGTGATTTTGCCGCTCAAG